AGAGATCGGCTGCAGGGATGGCTGGAGCAGGCACCAGGAGAACACAGAGGTAGAGACAGCCTGCGGACGGCAGGGCACAGGACACAGGAGGAGGCACCAGGCGCATAGGTCGAGGCCAGAGCCGCGGGGGGCACACGTGGTGTCCCTGGGCTAAACAAACCAGAAGAGCCACCCGCCGCCAGGTGGAGCCTGAGGCAGAGGAGGTGCGAGGCGCGATGGCGCGTGCCAAGCGCGCCAGAGGACGCGAGGAGGAGGGCTCCAGGCAGCCGCGGGAGGGGCCCGGGGAGTCGCGCCAGCGCGGGCCCCGGGTGGGGGAGCAGCGAGGCCGCTCGCAACCTCCGGGGCTGTTGGGAAGCCCTGGGTGGGAACGACGAGCGAAACGGGCGACCAACGAGGGGAGGCCACAAGACACGAGGACGCTGACAGAGAACGTGGTCTTCCTTCTCGCTGCCGTGGCGAGCCGCGCTGCCGAGCCACCAGAGGAGGTGTGAGGAGGCGCGGGGCGCGAGCCCGCGCCTGCGGGGTGCCAGCAAGAGGAGAGCCGGCGCCCGTGAGGTGCGGGTCGGGCGCCGACCCGCCGCGAACGCGAGCGCAGCGGCGCGCGAACGCGGCGGGTTGCCACAACGCGTTCGCTTGAAAGGCCCAGAAAAAGGCTCGTCCGCTTCCTCCTCCTCCTCCTCCCCATATTTATGTCCCTCCTCTGTGGATATATAGACGTTTCCGTGGCCGGTCAATATGCAGGACTATTGCTGCGTGGGCTCTTCAACGGCTCATCGATGGATACGGGCACATCCCCCTTGAGGGGCAGCGGGTTGTGCGGTGTCCACTCCCTTCTTCTCCTTCCGACACACAGTGATCCTTCCCACTTCACTTGCTGTCACCTTAGGGGGTTCTCCTGGGAGGTCCTCGTCGCCGCAGCTGGATTCGCCTTAAAGTGTGGATCAGAACGCTTACAAGGAGACGTCCAGGGAGTATCCTTGACATCGCTCGAGCTTGTGCTTTTTGTCCGGCGAGGGTCCTCGAGGAGCATCCTGGATCATTTCGCAACAACAAAAAACGAAACCGAACAATACACAGGGAATGGGCGACCGAGCTATGGCAAGTCAAGGCCTTGATCGGCTACGCTTACAGCCGGACCTAGGTATAAGATCGAGATCGGTTCGGGGAGGGCACCTTAATGATCGTTGTGCTTGTTGAGTGTTCTTGTGGATCCTGGGGAGGGCGCCCTAGGATGGTCTGTGTGCTTTGGCCAGTGGAGGGTCTCATCTTCTTGAAGGATGATGTTCTGTCCTGGGTCCAATTGCGCGCATGACGTTGGCCTCTCGCTGGGGCGACCTTTGGTGTGGGTGCACACAAGGGGACCCCACCAGCACCGGCCGGCGCGCGCGGACTCCGGGCCCATCCTCCTCCTCCACCTTTTCCTCCTCCTCCCCCTCCTCCTCCTCCTTTTCCTCTTCCTCCTCCTCCTCTCCCTCCTCCTCCTCCTCGCCACCTCTTCTCATTCCAGCACGTCGTCCCCGGCCCCCCCGGGGCCGCGCACGTGCCCCAGGCCATGATGTGCGAACCCCCTTGTTTCAGCCACGCGCAGAGGGGGGGTGAGGGGAGGGGGGAGGGCTTCTTAGAAACACCCCTGCTTCTTAGAAGGCGCGGGCCTTATCTAGATGTAAGGCCGGCGCCTTCTAAGAAGTAGCCTCCTTCTAGGAAGCCCTCCCCCCTCCCTCCACCCCCTTGTGCGCGCCGCCAACTTTTTCTCCGAGTAGATTTTTTGGTGTCCAGCCGAGCCGCTGTCTTCTTTCACTCGGGCCCCGTGGCGCCCACACCTAGGTCCCAGGCGACATGTGATTTTTTTTTTTCCTTGTCGGCGCGGGCCCTCGAGCCCCCCCCCCTCCCCCCCCTCCCTGAATTCTGGACGCCCGAATTGGGTACGGAAAGAATGGGTACAATGCCCAACAGCAAACCCTGTTCATTTTGAACAGGACTCGCTGTCCACGCCGCGGCGGCCTGTGTCCATTCGAGACAGAAGGCCGCCTGCCCAACAGCGGCCGCTGTTGGTTTGGGACAACATTTGTTGTTGGGCATTGTGCCCATTTTTTCCGTACCCACTTTGGGCGTCCATATGAATCGATCTTGGCTGTTTTCTGGCGCATGTTTCGAGCAAGTGGAGTCTCCCCAGAGGCAGCCCTCTTGCAAACAGTCGCGCTAAGCAGAGGTCTGGAGCCAGACCCCTCCCCCCTCCCCCCCCCCTTCCCGCCCAAGGTCGAAACGCCGAATAAGAAAAAAAACGCTCACCAAAAGCATCCCCCAAAACTCTTTATCGCCCCCCAGTCTTTCGCGGATGTCTGAGCATAGCCAATTGGGCGGGGCCAGGACTGGGATACAGATCGTTCCAGGACTTTCTCTACGACGGTCCCGGAGCGTTCCTCCAGAACCGCTGGATCTCAGAGAACCTTCGCCTCACCCTGAATCGGCGGCGAGCCCGGGAGGGGATTGAGACGGAGAAGGCCTTCTCGGGAGGCTCTGAAGCTCTCCCGCCCTCCGAGAAAAGTTTCCGGGGCCCTTCCCGATTCGGGGAGGCCTTCCTCCACCCCCGCTTCCTCCTCCTCCTCCTCCTGCTCCTCCTCCTCCTCCTACTCCTCCTCCCTCATCCCTCCTCCCTCCTCCCTCCTCCCTCCCCTTCCTCCCCGCAAACTTCCGCGGTCGCCCGCTGGCGCCAAAAGTCTCTCGAGCGGCGCCCTGCCGATCGTTGTGATGCGGCGCGGCAGCGCCGGCTTGCGCGATTGCGTTGGGCCCCCACGGGCGCCCCTGAAGCCGCGCACCAAAGGTCACTGCAGCCCAGGGTCACTCCTACGCGTAGTCGACCGAAGACGCACCAAAAGCCTTTCAGAGGGCCGCGGGCCTTCTGGGAAGTCCCGCCGCCGTCTGAGAAGGCCTTCCTCTTCACACTTCCCCCCTCGCTCACCGCAGAATGACGCGGCCAGGATGCATCAGGATCGGGATGGGCCAGTCGGCGGCGCGCACACGGGGGGGGCGGGGCGCAAAAAAGGCGGGCGGGGCCTTGGAGGGCAGGGGCCTTCTTGGAAGGGCCCGGAGGCTTCCAAGGAGGCCTGCCTGCAGGCCCCGGAGGGCTGCCGAGAATTTGACTCGCCTTCTTCTCAGGCGTTGTGCCACCGTCCCGGGAGGCCGCCCCCCCATCGCCCCAACCCGCTGCGCGCGCCGCCGGGTCAGGACGGATCGACGCGGAGCGCAGTCCGGAGTCCAGAGAGAGCAGGATCAGGAGGACGGGTCAGTCCGGACGAGTCGGAATGGACCAGGGTGTTGACTGAGCATTTTCTGTGCCTGGCATCGCTCGGACTTTCTCGGCGAGGACCCTTGAGGAACATCCTGGACCATCGAGCGAAAAAAAACACGCACGAAACCGAACAGTGCACGGGAAATGGACGTCCGAGCGACGGCAAGTTTGGGTGGAGGGCAGAGGGTGGCATCTGAAATGCCGTTTCGATGAATTTGTTCGAAGCCTGAATCTGCAGAAGGTGGCTCACAAGACGGGGACTGACTCTCGAGGTGCAAAGAGCCCATCTGGATTTCACCCTGGGCCCTCCACCCCAGGAACAGGTTCAGGTGGAGGGAACTCGGGCGGGCCGTAATGGTCGGGGGTGGACAGAACCCCCAACAGTGACTCGTCGATTAGTGAATTGTCCGTTTTCGGTTTTCGAGAGGGCGCCGTGGCCGTTATTTTCCAGGCTTGCGCCCGCGAGGTCTGGGCCTCAGGTCGTTTTCACTAAACCACGTTTTACTAAAGGGAGGTCTGTCCATCCCCGAAATGGGGGTGACCTACCTGGGGGGTGAAGGAAAAGGCCCTATAGTTACGTCGGGCCTGTCCCTCTACAGGGGGAACTTTCAAACATAGAAAACAAAATAGCCTGGGGACCATGTTTTGCATATTTTTGTGGGGCATGTCTGGTGTATGCTTGGATGTTCTTTTGGTTTCTGTATTTTCCGCCCAAAATCCCCCTGCAGGGGGACGGGCCCGACGGAACCCGATAGGAGGGGCCCCTCAGGGCCCCTCTGGGGCCCCCGCTGGCTCCGAGAGGGGCCCGACGGGCCCCTTCAGGGGGCCTCGTCTCCGCCCCCCCCCAGTGGGGCCACTCCCGAGGGCCGCGCGCCGGAGCAGGCGGGTCCTGGGCTCTTGGTGTCGCTCGGACGTGTGCACCTCATCTCGGCGGGGATTGTGAAGGAGCATCCTGGATCATCCTGCGAAGGAACCACGCACGAGACCGAGAAAAGCACAGGGAGTGGACGTCCGAGGGATGGCCAGTGCGGCGCTTCGCCGTCTTCGGCCTCCTGGAGCCCTCAGAGAGGCCCTGGGGCCATCAGAACACGGCCTGGGGCGCAGGAGCAGCCCAGACATCGGGCGTCTCGAGAAAATCGAGATGGAGGTTTTTCATAGCTTTTGGCCTCTCGGGGCCCTCGCTGGGCTTCGGGACCGTCGAAAAACGACTCGGGATGAGAAACCGGTCCTGGGGAAGTGGTCGGGAGGTCGGGGGCCCGTGTCTTGAAAAAATCGAGACGTCGGATGTCTGGAAGCATGGGGGGGCGTCCCAGGGCCTCGGGGACCAAAATTCCTTCCGGGGTCCTTCCCTTCATGCCAACGGAGCGGGCGTTTATGAGGTGCTGTGTCCCTCGTGGCGATCCCCGCAGAGCTCACCTCTTGCAACTCGCTGTTCGTCCACGCTGCAGTGCCAGACGACGTCACCAATCTGACCTGGTCGTGCGAGCCTGTCGATTCGCGGTTGTGTGCCAACATCCTCTCCGTGGCTGCTGCGGGCGCCGTCGTGAGTACGCTCCAGGTCTCGAGCAATCTAGTCTCTGACGCTGCGGCACATGACGTGAGTCTTGTTTCACCACTGTCTGTGTTGCTGCAGGCGCACGGCCTGAACAAGTACGGAGACCAGTCGCTGGGGTCTACAACCATTACGTTCGACATCTTGGGCGGCGGCTCGATGTCCCTGGTGAAAGCCGCAAGCACAACGGAGTACACGTTGTTGGACGATTACGTCCGCCTCAGTACCAACATCATGCTTTGCGACGGTGCTGCAGTTGGAGGGAATATCCAGGTCAGCTGGAGCTGGAGGCAAAAGCTTGCTGTTGGCGCAGCACTGTGGAACGCGTGGACCAACGACGCAGGCGTCGCGTACACATCCCTCAAGATGCCTGTCAGTCAGTTCGGTGGCGCCGCGGAATACGAGGTAAAGGCTTCCATTGCTGGCTCTGGGGCTGGAGATGCGATCTTCGAAGTCACGGTAGGCGACATCCCGCCCCCCGACGCCATTCTGTCATTGCCAGCAGTGGCGTCGGAAGATTGTGACTTTTCCATCGATGCCTCGGGCTCAACCGACCCTGGCGGAGCGGACTTGTCCGTCGCGTGGGCCTGCGAGTCAGACAATGCATCGGAGTCTGCGGCCTCCTACGCGGCGGCTGCGGCGTGCAGCGCGAAGGTGACAAACGAGACGGCTTTTCTGATCACCCTGCCCGGCGGGGCCCTGGACGCGGGCGGCTACCTCTTCACGGTCACCGTCTCTCGCGCAGGCGCCCAGTCGACCACGTCCGGGGCGGTGCTGGTCACGGGCACCAGTCAGCCCGTGGTCTCCTTCGCCAAGCTGGCGGCGGAGGTGTCCCCACAGCAGCCCCTTACGGTGGCGGCCACGGTCTCCGAGTCTGCGGGCTGCGTCTCGCCCGCCTGGAAGGCCTGGTGGCTGGTGGCGCCCGACGGCTCCAGCGCGACCCAGCTGGCGGCCTCCGCGGCGACGAGCCTCACGGGGCTCTCGGTGCCTTCCCTGTCCGCCGCCCCAGGCGCCTATTACCGGATGCGGCTGGTGCTGTCCGAAGCGGCGCACGCCGGCTTCACTGAAGACATTAGCAAGGGGGTCTACGTTTTCGATTCCACCGTCTTTCTGATCGACGAGCCGCCCACTGGCGGCTCGTGCGAGGTGTTCCCGAACAAGGGCAACGCCACGCTGACGAGGTTCACGCTCTCCTCGCTGAATTGGCTGGACGACGACCTGCCGCTACTCCACAAGTTTTCCAGGTGTCTGGGGACCGTGGGCGACGGCTGCGACTCCTGGACCGCGGTGAGCGCCTACTCGCGGAGCGAGACCCTGCAGAACGTCCTGCTCTCCACGCCAGGGACGGTGATGATCAAAGCTGACGCCAAGGACACGCTCGGCTCTTCCAGCGCGGCCGTCACGGAGGTGGAAGTCGTCGAGCTGGCGGAGTACGTGAGCGACGCTGCTCTCCTGGATGTGGTTGCGTCGGTGTCTAGCTTTGGCGATCCGTTCACCACCCTGGCGGCCCTGTCGGCGGTGGCGGACAGCTCGAGCAGTGGGAGCCAGGAGTTCTCTGGCATCCTGCTGGACACCCTGTCGGGGAGCGGCGCCCTCTCGGACCCGGACCCGGAGAGCGTCGATGCCACCACGGCCGCACTCGCTAGCATCGTGACGTCGGCATCCACCGTGCACTCCACGCACGCGGGCGGCAATGCGACCGAGACAAGCCAGGAGGTCGTCATGGAGATGGAGGTCGCGACGAAGGCGGCGAATCTGGTCAGCGACATCGCGGTGGCAGCGAAGGGCTTGGAGGAGGGCATGCAGGTGGCGACCGCCACGCTACTGATAAATTCCGTGGGCACTCTGCTGAACACTGCCACAGCCACCCCTGCCACCACAGGCGAAAACAGTACTTACGCCACGGATGGAAATGCTTTGTCTGACGAGGAGGTGGCGCAGCAGAAGGCCCTCAGCGGCCAGCTGCGGCAGGCCACCGAGGCCATTGGCGACGCCGTCATAAAAGCCACTCCGCTTGGCGAGACGGTGACCATGAACACTACCACAGGCCTCCAGCTCAACATCATGAAAACGGACAATGGCGCACTGGCGGCCCATGGCGCGAGCGTGGGTGGCTTCACGCTCCCCCCGATGTCGGGCCTCGCCGCGAGACGTCGCCTGAGGTCTGGGCGCGTGCTTACGAGCGGAGAGACGATCGGCCTGCAGAACGCGAAGTGGCACAAGAACCCTTTCTCGTACGCAGGCTCTATCGCGCCGGCCCCAACATCGAGCAGTGGGGTGGCGAGCGACCTGAGCATCTCGACAGAAGGCGTGCGGTCCTTCAGCATCCGGCTGGACGGAGAAGAAGTTGCAGTGGCAGATCTGGAGGATCCTATCATCATCGAGTTGCCGAGGCACCCGAATGCTGAACGCAAAAGTTTGTCTGCACAGAGGAGGCTGAGTGATGTCCATGAGGACGCCACCATTGAGGAGGTGGAGGAATGCATGTACTTTGACCACACGAACGAGGTCTGGTCTACAGAGGGCTGTTCAGTGGTGGAGATCAGCGGCGACACGCTCGTTTGCGCTTGCAACCACCTCTCTTTCTTCTCCTCTGCCCTCGGCAGCCTGTCGTTCTTGGGAGACTTCCTGTGCCCAAATGTGGCTATCCTCGCACCTGCAGGCTTTGTAGAGCTGGGTAGGGGTCAATGGGCACAACAGCGAGGCGGGATCGTTCTCTGGACGCTGCTGGTGGTGCACTTGGTCATCACCCTGTTGGCCTGCTGCTCGCAGGGCTCCTGGACGTCCAAGCCGGGCTTCTTCTTGTACGCCGACGATGCAAAGGGCTACTCGAAGATGGCCGTGCTGAAGAAGATGGTGAGCGCCGGGCAGAAGAGGGGCAAGTCAAAGCCGAAGATGGTGCTCGTGTTCATCATGCACGTCGTTTTGAAGCTCAAGCTCGACTATGACTACGACGAGCTCTGCCAGCAGACCACCCTCGAGATGATTCGGACTCTTGTGTTTTACAAGATGATGATGATGTGGGTCACGGCCTTAGTCGGCCCGGGCCAGGGCCACGTTTGACCGTTTTCAAAACTGCTGTTTCTGGAACGCGAGAACGCATTTCTGTTTTGGTTCGGCGTCTGGGGATTGGAGCCGGAAGCGGAACCATAAACATGACGATTACGGAACCGGCAACAAAACGGTGCCAGTACAAGCAAACAACATGCAACACGGTCAGGCGAGATCGGATTTGCCAAGTTCCGTGGTTCACCACGCAGCCTCACCCGCCCATGAGTTGTTTTCAAAGCCTATCGTGCCTGGTAGATCTCTGCCCATCTGCATTTCCGGGTTGCGAGCAGCTAATATTGAGTCGGGCATCTCCCTCTACAGGAGGAAGATTCAAAAATAGTCAAGGATAGTCTGGGGACGATTTGTATAAGATTTTCCACTATCTCAGAATTTTTGTGATTATGTTTTGAATGTGTCTCCAAAATCCGCCTGCAGGAGGACGTGCCCGACCTAAAGCTAACCGGTCGCGAAGGTCTTCTCTTCGTTGTGCGCTTGCTTGTCTCAGGCATGCTGTGCACGCGGGCGGCTGAGACTTGCTATTATCGTGATTGGGATGGCCCTTCTGAGAGGGGCAGCGAAGTCGTATATGTCTGTGGTGTGTTAATTTGGTGTTGCGGAAAGGAGATCGTTTTTTATTCATTGTTTTGCCGATCAGGACGGGTCCCAATACCACCCCCTCCTTCCTCACTGAAGTAGATCTTGCCTGTTTTTTGGCACCTGTTTCGATCGGGTGGAGTCTCCCCCAGAGGCCGCACTCTTGCAAACAGTCGCACTGAGCAGAGGTCTGGAGCCAGACCCCCCCCCTCTCCCCCCCCTTTGTCGCCCCATGTCGACACGCCGAATAAAGAAACGCTCGCAAAAACGAAACTGCAAATGGTGCTGGCAGAAGACCTGGCCTGTCGCTTCCATGGCTAACCAAGGTCACGGCAACCATGGGCTTCTCTGAGCTAGACTTGCGTTACATGCGTCACGGCAACGTGGTGTCAACCGGTGGCATGGGCACCCGCGGGTTAAAGGTCAGGTCAGTCTGGGAGGAGACCAGCGACGACGACAGGAGCAGCAGCGGTGACAACCCAGAGGAGGCGCCGCGAGTGGATGCACAGACGACCTGCTCGAGCGTGGATGCGGCTCCCTCCATGAAGGCCGCTGCCATGGCCATCATGGCCATGCCGAAGATGGCGTCTGGCTCCAGGGGGCCATCGACGCGCTCAGAGACCTCCGAGCAGCGGGTGTCGAAACTGTCGGCCGTGTCGAGCGAGGTCAGGCGCAGCCTCATGAAGCTCCCCGTCCGCTCGACAAACACGAAGCTCGACAACGGCATCACCGACGAATTCGTCGCCATGGTGAAGGACAAGAGTCGCTTGCTGCAACGCCGACGGGACGGTTTCGCGGCCTCTGGGGCCCCTGGGGCCCGCCAGGCCGGGGAAAGAGTGAGTTCCTCGGAGATGTCCACCGCGCAGGACGCCACTGGGGAGGCGGTGAAGTTTTCTGAGGAGGTTGTGGTCCTGTACAAGGCAATCCACCCTCTCTACAAGCTGCTGCTGTACAGCATGACCGTGCCCTGGACATTTCAGATCGTGGCGCTACTCAGCACTGTGTTTGGCTCGCTCATGCTCTCGGCTGCCTTCTACGGGACCAGCGCGAGCCCCAACATCCCCGAGTGCGTGGGTCCAGACAATTTGCTTGGGAGCATCGTCCGGGACATGTCCGTGGCCCTGGCCTCCACGATCATCGGATTGGCCCCGATTGTGGTGATACTGTCCCGGCGCAGTCGCACGATGCCGCGGGTCAGCGCAGAGCGCGATGTGCAGAGACAGCTCCGGCAGTGGTTCTTGAAGGACGTTGCCATCATAGTGGGCGGGTTGCTGTGGTCCGCATTCTGCATATTATACATCATGCTTTTCCTGGCCAATGTGAGCCAACAGGATGCAGACCACTGGTTGGTTAGCTTGCTTACTCGCTTCATCAGCAGCTGGATCATTTTGCCGGGTGTTCTTGCTATACTGTGGGTGATAGTTATGAGAGTCTTTGCGGTCTTCAGCGACGGACGCTTCATCGAGAACAGCGTCAGCGCGCTCCTGAGAGCAATTCATCATGGCGGCGGTGGCGGAGAGCTGGTGAACACGTCGGGAGCCCGCTTGTCTGTGGACCCGCCGCCGCTTCTGCACGAGGGGGCCCGCAGCTGGGCGACCAGGCTGCTCCGTGCAGGCCCAGACGACCATCTGCCGCCGGTGCCGCCCCTGGGCAGGATGTGGGCGCCCGCGGAGAAGGAGGCCCACTTCTGGACGTGGGTCAGCCACCTGCGGGAGCTCAACCAACAGGCCGTGGCCCCATCGACGCGTGCGTCCTTGTCCCTCGCGAGCGCGCGGGCGGCCCTGCCGTCGCCGACGGGCCGGCGGCACATTGCCCACCGCCGCAGCTCGAGGTCTCCGGGCGAGCCCGGCGAGCCCGAGAGGCCGATGGCGGGATGGCAGGCCTCGGGGGCGGAAAAGAGGGGGGTGATGACTAGGGGGGGCGGGATATCATGGCGGGGGCCATGATATTTCCTCAGATTTCATCGCGCTCCTCTTATTTCAATGCGTTCCCTGGCCCCCTCCCTGGGCCGCGCACATGCCGCCGGTCACGATTTGCACCCCCCCCTTCTGGGACACCCCCCTCTTGGCCGCCCCCGACAGGCCGGCCGCCACGCTTGGCAGGCCGACCAGACGCAACTGGTCCCCGGGACTCCGGCGCCCGAGGGGCCAGCATCAGCGGGGGCCGACGGGCGAAGCCTGGCTGACGGGGGGGAGCAGCGACCCGACATCGCCCGTGCCTCGCCGATCGGGGCCCTGGGGGGCCCCGACTCCTCCTCCTCCTCCTCCTCTCCTCCTCCTCCTCCTCCTCCTCCTCCTCCTCCTCCTCCTCCTCCTCCTCCTCCTCCTCCTCCCCCTCCCCCTCCTCTTCCTCCCCCTCCCCCTCCTCCTCCCCCACCTCCAGGATCGCGCGACGTTGTCATCCAGCGCCTAGCATGGATCTACCGGCGATGCCTCGCCCACTACCGGTCACGGCTGCCGCCCCTGAGCCAGCCTCTTGGTATGCGACGTCGCGAGCAAACGCTGCAATATAGCGAAGGGTCGCCCCCGGTGTCCCAGACTCCACCTTCCTGCGGCACTGCTCGATGTGGACCGATCTGCCAGGGCCCTGGGCGTCCGAAGTGAGGCGGGAGAACGCCCGGAGCGAGCAAGAGTGCGGCGCCGGGTCTCGAGGCCCCCCTTCGCCCTTTCGGCCCCCCTTGCAGCAGTTCCGCCGCCACCGTGCTCATCGGCGGTTCTGCCAGGCGTCGGGGGCACCAACTGTACAGGCACCGGACCTGGCCAGGCCGATCCTGGGCCCTGCATCGGTGCATGCGCAGGAAGGCATTATTATACTGATCGTGGGCCCATCGGGGCGGAAAAGAGGGGGGTGATGACTGGGGGGGGTGGATATCATGGCGTGGGCCATGATATTTCCCCAGATTTCATGGCGCCTCTTCTTATTTCATTGCGTTCCTGGCCCCCCCGCTGGGCCGCGCACATGTCGCCGGTCATGATTTGCACCCTCCCCCTCTTGCACACACCCCTCTTGGCCGCCCCCGAGCCCAGGATGGGCTTGGCCAGGATTGGGGGGGTTGGTGTATACCCGTGTGCCCAGACATGCGACGTCCTGCTTTTTTCATCGCGGGGTCCGCGGGGGTCTCGACCCTTCCCCCCCAGGACTGGCTCTTCATCCTGGGTAGTCTTGTTGACGGTTCTGGGGCCTGCCGAGGGCCACCCCCGAGGCTGACAATGGCGAGACATTTCGCGCCTTGATGTTGTTTTCACGGCGCGAGCATGTCTGGCCCGAGGCTGTGGCATATACATGACCACCGCACGGGGGATCGACTCTCGCGGACCTGCACGGGCGGTGGATGTATACATTCGGGCCCCTGGGGGCCAACATATATCCATATCCACCACCCGCTGGGCCCCCAAGACGTCGGACCCCTGGTGGTGCATCGGGATAGATGTAAGTCGGGCATGTCCCTCTGCAGGAGGACCGTGCAACGATAGTCAGACAAGAGTCCGGGGACGATCTGTTGAGCATGTTTGGGTTACTTTGCGGGCATTCGCTGTTTTTCCCAAATCAGTGCTTGCAGAAAAGGGTTCCTAGCGGAAGTTAAAAGATTTGGCGAAAGTTTCCCGCCCATTTTCCCCAATCAGTGCTTGCATTGAAGGGGTCATCGTGGAAGTTGAAGGATGTGGTGAAAGGTTCCCACAGATTTTGGTCGCCCGCTGGGTTCCCGGGTTCCCGGTTCTGGGCTCCCAGTTTCCCGGTTCCGAGTTCCGGGCCGATTTCGGAGCCTAGGGCGGCGAGGTTCTCGGGTTCCCGGGTTCCTGGTCGATCTTCTTATCCATCGGTCTCACCATCGATCTCATCACCCATTTCTCTATCGATCTCACCATCGATCTCACAATCGATCTCACCAGCAATCTCACAAGCGATATCACTAGAGATCGCATGAGCGATCTCGCGAACGATCTCACTATCGATCTGATTGAATCGATTTCCCCCTTCGGTCTCACTATCGACCTTATAATCGTCCTCACGATCGATTGCACTATCCATCCTATTATCGATCCCACAATCGATCTCAAGATCCATAATATCAATATTCAAATCATCCACTGATCGGGGTTTTCTCATTAATAGCAGGCTGGGTTCCCGGGTTCCCAGTTCCGGGTTCCCAGGTTCCTGTTATTGGTTACGGGCCGCTTTCGGTGGGTTCTGGGTTCCCGCTCAGCGAAAGCCATCCACTGATTCTGGTTTTTCTCTGGTGTAATCCCAGACATCGGGCGTCTCGAAAATCGAGACGGAGGTTTTTCATAGCGTTTGGCCTCTCGGGGCCCTCGCCGGGCCTCGGGACCGTCGAAAAAACTACTCGGGATGAAAAACCAGTCCCGGGGAAGTGGTCGGGAGGTCGGGGGCCCGTGTCTCAAAAAAATCGAGACGTCGGATGTCTGGGATTTTTATTACACCACAGGAAAACCCCAATCAGTGGATGGTTTTCGCTGAGGAGATCGACGGGGAACCCTTAGAGCCCGAGAGCTTAGAACTCACCGAAATCGGCCCGGAACCAATGCCAATAACCGGGAACCTGGGAACCCGGAACCGGGAGCCGGCTACCAACATCGGCGGGAACTTTCGCCAAATCCGCCAATTTCCGCTATAGGACCCCTTCGGTGCAAGCACTGATTGGGGAAGTCCTCCTCCAACCCAGACCCCCGACGTCATGATTTTTTCATGACGCGACCTCCAGAGGTTCGGACCGATTCCCCGGGACCGGTTTTGCATCCCGAGTTGTTTTTTGACGGTCCTGAGGGCCGGGAAGGGCCCCCGGAGGCCGAAAATAGCGAAAAACCTTTCGTCATGATTTTTCTCATGACTCGAGGGGGTCTGGGAAATCTGCCTGCAGGGGGAGGTGCGTGCCCGACCTGCCGCCGGTGGTCCTCCCCAGGCGGCGCCGCGCCTCCGCGCGGCGGGCCCCTCGGCGGCGCCCTGGCGCCGCGGGCCCCCGCGGACGGCGGCTCGGAGCGCCAGGGGCGGTCGGGGGGCAACGCGTTGGTTTTCCTAGCTCCTCCCTTATCCTCCTCCCTCCTCCTCCTCCTCCTCTCCTCCTCCCTCCTCCTCCCTCCTCCTCCCTCCTCCTCCCTCCTCCTCCCTCCTCATCCCTTCTCCTCCTCCTCCTCCCTCCTCCCTCCTCCTCCCTCCTCCTCCCTCCTCCTCCCTCCTCCTCCTCCCCCTCCTCCCTCCTCCTCCCTCCTCCTCCCTCCTTCTCCTCCTCCTCCTCCTCTCCTCCTCCTCCTCCCTCCTCCTCCCTCCTCCTCCCCTCTCCTCCTCCTCCTCTTCCTCCTCCTCCTCCCTCCTCCTCCCTCCTCCTCCTCCTCCTCCTCCACCTCCTCCTCTTCTTCCTCCTCCTCTGGGGGCATCGAGCAGTGGCGAAGCGTCATGGCTTTCTCCTGTAGGCCCACCGCAAAAGTCAGAGGAGGAAGCGGTCCCCACACCTCTACCCTCCCCTCGTTTTCCCCTTTTTGGGCCTCCGGGGAGGCCCTCGTCACCACCGTTGGATTCGCTTCGACATTCTGGTCAGAACGCACCCCAGGAGAGGTCTGGGGAGTAGCGGTATCGATACCTTTTTGGTTTCCCCCAACACATTCGAAGATCGGTATCGTTCAACCGACCCCCACCCCCATCCCCATCCCCTTCGAGGCTCCCACCAAATTACCACCCCAGTTCGGGATACACCCTTCGCAAACCCGAAGGGAACGACCTACATTCCCATCTAGGGGGGTAAATCGGCCATTGGGGCCCAGGCCACGCCGCTGGGGATGGGGATCGGTTGAACGATACTCATCAGAACCTTTTGTGGTCTGCACGACATGTTCTTAGAACACTTCTGGCTGAGACCGTCTTGTTTTGAGACAGTAGGTTTACATGCTCTAAGACCATCGCTTTTGTTATTGGAGCACTTTTGGGTTCTAAGAACATGTCGGGGTAGGCCTATAGGATTGCCGGGACGGTCGGTCCCTGCTCAAGGTCAGAAGTGAGAGTCGGAGGCGGCAAAGAGGGGGGTGATGCCTGGGGGGGGATATCATGGTGGGGGCCATGGTATCTCCCCAGATATCATGCCGCCTTTTCTTATGCCAATAATTACGTCCCTGGCCCCCCCTTGGGCCGCGCACGTGCCGCCGGACATGATTTGCGCACCCCCCTCTTGGACGCCCCCTTCTTGGACGCCCTCGGGGGAGAAGGACGTGCAGCGGAGGCCCATGCCAAGGAGCACCCTGCTCGCCTCCAGGGTGCCCTGGATTTCTTGGGTTTCGATGGTTTTGTTATGGAAGGCGTGACCTTCCCTCACCAATTATCGATGGACGTCCTGGGGTCTCAGGGTTGGATTTCTTGAAGAACGTTTCTTGTGGTCGGGCCCCGACTGCACGCGTCCATGAACCCACGTTCGTTTCGGGAGTACGCATTGCGCGAATCATCGTCTCACGCGGCCAGCATCGCGGATCGATGGGCTGTGCTCGTGTACATGGTTGGGCGCGTACGTCATTTGCAGGCTCCCCAGGGGGGCATGCCTCAGGGAGGGGAACGTCGAGCTGGAGTCGGCGATACATCGCCGATACATCGGCGATGGGTCCCCGATAGTGAATCCGCACGTTCCTGGGCGGCGTGGGCTATGAGGCCCACCCACCGGCGATGCATCGCCGATTCTAGCAGGATGTCCCGCCCCCCCCCCCCTGCTGAAGCTGGCTGGCGTCTGAGGTTGCCCAGCACTGGGCTTGGCCAGCAGAAGAGGGGTAAGGGGCTCGAGGCTCGGGGTTCAAGCGAGCTTCTTGCATCTCTCGGGCTCTGGGGGCCGTTCTCGTGCCCTGGGACCATGAGCAACGGTCTGGGGCAAACAGCTGCACCACCCGGCTCCCAGGAGCGGGGTCCAGGGGCCAATGTTGAGCGGCTTTCCTCGTACCCCCGCTTCTTGACATCCCGAGGCGCATTCAGTTCAGACCCCTGGGCTGCTTCAGCCCCCCCTGAGTCTACCCCACACACGTTGGCGCCGCGCAACAAAAATCACGACGGACGGTATTCTGTCTTTTCGGCCTTGTGGGCCCTCGCCAGACCCTGAAACCGTCAATGCACGACTCAGGTTATGATGTTCAAGCCTACTTGAACCTTGGTCACCAGGACGAATTTCGGCAGAAGTGTTTTCATGTGTCGGGCTCTGGGAGGCGACAGTCGTTCGATACTGTTTCGACACTTTTCTGGGTGCTCGAAATTCTGTTTGGTATTTGGTCCCCAAGTACGATTGGAGCGACATAAGGCTCAGGATGGAATGCTGGTCAAGGGGAAAAGGTCGGGAAGTCCATTGGCCCCGCATAGAAGATGCCATGGCGTCGCATGTCAGGGGCCCCCATCCGCCCTGTAATCCGAGTAGGGGGTCGGCTACAACATTCATGTACCCCAGCATTGATTCCCTCGTCGAATCTACAAGCAAAATACGTAAGAAGTTCGTAGGCATACGAACATTATATGCGTATTTCGTAGACTCGACGAGATGTAGACTCCATCATGTCTGGCCTCCGTCAGGGCCGGGATGGCCTCGCACGGCGCGCAGGGGTGAAGGGAGGTGGATTTGTCATCACGCTCCCACAGGCCTCCCTCAAAGAAGAACAAAACGTCATAATCAGTTTTGGCGCTCCGCGCGGATTTCTGGCGCGCTCCGCGCGCCAGGGAGGGGGTCCAGCGCAGATCCAGGAAATCCGCGCGGAGCGCTAAAAGTTTATGTAGATTGCGCTTTTTCTTCTTTTTCCCCCCAAACAAAACATTGCACAGTCGACGAAGAGAATCAGTTTTGGGGTCAATCCCCTAGCCTGCTGCTTCTGAGTTGCTCGCGCTCGGCCACAGACTGCCCCGCACCGCCGGGCGCCCTGCGACGGGAGGGGAGTAACGGGAAGAGGAGGAGGGGGGGGAGGAGGAGGGAGAGAGGGGGAGGTGGAGGAGGGGGGAGGAGGAGGAGGATGAGGAGAAGGAGGAGGAGGAGGAAGAAAACGAGGAGGAGGAGGAGGACGGGGAGGAGGCGGAGGAGGAGGAGGAGGAGGAACAGGAGGAGGAGGAGGAGGAGGAGGGGGAGGAGGAGCAGGAGCAGGAGGAGGAGGAGCAGTCTTGCTTGTGGTCGATCCCTCACTCGATGTGGTGCTGCCTCTCAGGTGGGCCGGGGCCCGCCTCGCGCCTGGAGGGGCGGCCGGTGCGCCATCGGGGCGGCAGGCCCTCTTGGGATCGGGCCGGGCGGAGGGCCGGGGAGGAGGAGGAGAAGGAGGAAGAGGAGGACACGGAGGAGGACACGGAGGAGGAGGAGCAGGAGCAGGAGGAGGAGGAGGAAGAGGAGGAAGAGGAAGAGGAGGAGGAGGAGGAAAATTCGAAGCCGTCTGCAGTTCGAAGCTCGAGGCTCGTGGGCGCTCAGTCGGTCGGCGGCGCGCGCTCGGCCACCGCCGCGGGTCGGGGCCCTGCCCTCCCCCCTCCCCCCTCCCGCCCCCGGGGAGACCGAAATGGGCACGGAAATGATTGGCACAAAGCCCAACAGCAGTTGTACAGTCAACCCGCGTAGTAAGGATGGGCAACCTTCCCAATGGGTACCCTTGCATCCTTGCCTCCTCGGTCTGTCCTTTGCCCGGCCAACCTCGTTCGAAAAACGTTCACGTGGCACTCCAGGGCACTTGTATCCTTATCGCGCATCCTTGTTATACGGGTTGGCCGTAGTTCATTATAAACAGGATTCGTTGTCGGCGTCGCGGCGGGTGTATTTTACTTGAGGCACAAAGTCGCCTGGCCAGCAGCGGCCGCTGTCGGTTTTGGACAACATTGGCGTTTGGGCATCGCGCCCATTTTCTTCGTACCCATTCCGAGCGTCCACAATGGTGGATGGCCAGCGACTGCAGGAGGAGGAGGGAGGAGGACCCGGAGATCCTGGCGATTCAATTTCTTCCAGCCGGGCGTTTCTTCGGGTCCTGGGACCCTCGCAGACCGATCCGGCTGGAACAATGACGGACAAAGAGGGGGTCGAGGGACCCGAGCGTGACTTTTCTTTTGCGGGATCTTGCAATTTCTAGCCACGCCAGATCTCAAAGGAGGACGAGGAGGACGAGGAGGAGAAAGAGGAAGAGGAACGTTCGATTACCCTCCAGGCTTTTGTTCGCCCTCGAGGTAGGTCCGAGCATCTGAAGAGCGAGGCGGGTTTGTATTGTGTTGTTAGCATCTGAAGAGCGAGGCGGGTTTTCATTGTGTTGTTGGCCGTCGGTCGCCCAAGGCGTATGCATTGTCGCAGGGTTATCGAACGGGAGAGGGGGGGTCGCGAGGGCAGCACCCGAAATGCGATCGTCGCTTCGTGTCCTGCTTGGGACAAGGCCCTGGAGCGGGGTGCAGCTGCCCATCGGCAGGGGGCGCAGGAGCCTGTGCAGCCCCTTGTGGGGGTGGCGTCAACGGGGGGGGCGGCAGCTGAGCGCGCCGCCAGGTCTAACCGAGAGAGATCGAGATTAGTTCAGAGAGACGGAGAAACTTCGAAACAAATTGAGCGACACGGCGACCCCATGGGGTTTTAAGTACGTTCTCGATGGCAGTTTGGTGATGTTTTGAGCGCCGCCTGGCTTGCAAACGCGGCGGCCAGTCGCCCCCTTTTTATCTCCACCACCCCCGCGTGGAGCTGCGTGAGGCCTGGTCGCGCGAAGGTGTGTGTGTGTGTGTGTGTGTGTGTTTTCGGTGGGAGGCGCCACGTTGCCTTCGCCTGGCCTTCTCGGGGCGCGGTGGAGAGCTCAGTGGAGGTCCTCGCCCGCCCCCCAGGGCGCGGGTTGTTCGAAGTCACCGAGGGGAGGAGGGGGAGGGGGAAGAGGGAAACACTGTCGTTCGACTTTGGCAAGTTTGCTTGAATGGATGATGTTGGGGCGCGGCAAGGCCCGAAAGTGAATCTGCATTTCGCAATCAATAGCCCTGACGATAGCGTATGTGAAGCTTGTGGGCTCCGGTAGGTCTACGTGCAGGCTGCGCATCGGCTTCCTCCACGGTTTTGCTTGGCACGCCGACGAGCCCGTTTCGACCTACGCATAGAGCGCGCATGGGCCCGCAACGGGCCTATCGATCTGCCGACGCACAACCTGCGCGTGGGCCCGCGACGGGCGCGTGGGCAGGCTTGGCATATGCCTGCTGGCTCATGCGCCGCTGGTTTGACTACAGTGCGAGCATCGGGCCACGATGGTCCAACCGCAGCCTATCAGCACGCCTGCGAAAGGCCTGCGCGAGGCCAGCCGATCGCCGTAGTCTGGCTCTTTGGATTGCTTTTTGACAGGGCATACTGGCCCGCGCAACCCAGGGCCTACTGTAGCCCGCGCGCAGCCCTTCAATAACATTAAAGCCCGTTTCGGCGCAGGACGCGCGCAGGCCCCACACGCGGCTTCAGCATGCGCGTCGACCAACCACGGGTTTGTGCATAAGCAATGCACGGGCCATCGACGGGCCTCTAGTGAGCCTATACGGAGGCCGGCGCCGCGCCATGGGCCTATAGCTCGACTACGCGCAAGAGCGACCATTCGCTGGGCCGACCATGGCGCCCCGGCGAAACTTGGCACATCGACGTGGCCAGCTTCACCGTAGATCCCGCGCAGTACTGCGCTGGTTTTTGTTGGCGCAGAACCGACGGAGACGTCGGCGCGACACACTGTGCGTTCGCGCGTGGGAGATCTACAACTCCCACGATTGACTGCGCCACAGACCGACGCGCGCTGTAAGTTCGCGTCGGTCAGGATCCGTGGTTGGAAAACATGTCGGAATCTCGGCTGAAGCTGAAGTTGCAATCGCGTCCGGTGGACACGCTGGGAGAAGCTGCGCTCGGACACGTGAGAACGCGAGTTTTCGAGGTGCTTTCCGAAGGAACGAACCCGAACGAGAGGCAACCCTGGCCGCAGCCGGCAGGGAGAGCAACCTCGGCGATTCCAGCGCCAGGGAGCGCTGTTGGTCAGAGAGGGGGCGCCGGAGCCCCATCTCGGAGCCAGGTGGCGATAGCGCGACCAGCAGCATCCAGTTCCAGGAGAAGCGCAATTTCGCGGTCTCGCCTGGCGCCTTGTAGCTCGGCGTCCACGGTTCTCGACCAGTCCAGAGTTGTGTTGGCGGTCCAGCCCATCGAGGGGCGTACCTTCGCGATTGGACCGCGACGCAGGAACGACCCAATGGTCGAAAACTAGATCTCCGCGTGCGTGGGCAGTTTGGCCGAGTGGGCGGTTCGGCCCGAGCTCGCAACCGTGGGGCTGCGGCCGCGCGCCCCGGGGGCTGATGTCGCAGCTTACTGTGAATGCCTCGACCAGGATTTCGCCGGTGCCGGGCAGTTCCTGAACAGCGAGCAGCAGGAGCGCCGCCCTCGCATCTCCGACGCGCGGCGCGAGGCGCGGCCAGGCGGCGGCCGCCGCTGGGGCTGAGGCCCGCCGGGCTTGGCGCGGGCTGGCGCGCTTTCCCCCGCGCCGCCTCCCCTTCGTTCGTCGGTCGTCTGTCGCTCGCCCGGCGCGTCGTGCCACTGGGCTCCGTCGTCGCCGGTAGAAAAAAAGTGCGCCCTAGACGCCCGGACTCGCTGTGTCGCGGCGTCTGGGGGCCTTCGCGCGACGCCGCGAAGTCCGCTGGGCAGCTCTGCCGCGCTCGCGCACGCGCGCGTGGATTGCCAAACGGCGTGGAGGCACTCCTACGCCGCTGGCGCAAGATTATGGGCAGCGGGGTGGATCTGCCCCGCGCAGAGCTGCGGGGCACGCCGCTGGAGAAACGAGGGATATTGGCCGCCAGTGCAACCGCTCGAGCCCGGGAGGTCGGCCCAGTGTCCTCGGGCGCCCGGAGAACAAGTCGCGGGGTGCCTTCGTCGAGACGCTGGGCCCGACTGGCCGCCTGGGCGTCGATTGCTCTGAGCGGGACAACCATTGCGCGAGCAGCCCCGCAGCTGAGGGCGCCTCCGATCGTTTCCCATCGGGCGCGCCTTTCAATATTTTCGCGACTGAGGGGCAGCGCCGGATTACGCAGTTCCGTCATGAGGTTGCTCGAGCATGGTCCTCGACGTTCGCTCTGCTGGGCCTCGGGCGCGGGTCGAGTCTACATCCCAGCGACGGGGGGATGATGCAGCGGAAGATCATGGATGCGCGGGCCGCGACGTCTTCGAGGGTCGACAACGACGAGGACACTGCGACGTCTTGTTTGTGGTGGGCCTTGGACAAGCGGCGCGATGCAGGAGTCGAGGTCTGTCGCGTCGCCGAGGATGGCGCCGCTGTTGCTGACGACCTTCCGGCGCCGCCCGCGCCGCGGGCGCTCGACGAGCTGACCGAGCTGGCGCCGTCAAGCATGTCCTCAGCGCTTTTGCATGAGGACGAGGACCTCGCGGCTGCGAGGGCGAGAACCGCGCCAGCGATGGCGAGAGTACGCAGATAGTCGCGAAGGCGCACCTGGCCGCTCGGAGAGTTGGCGGCCGCCAGGCTGCGCGGCGAGCCTCGGCGGCGCTGCGCGTGATGGGTGGCCGCCACTATAAAAGGGGCGGGCTTTTGTGCCAGGACGAGTGGGGCTCGACGTTGTTGAGTTTCGTTCGCGATCTAGTTGTGCCCCGCTGTGGCCATCGAGCATGTCGCCACGACGGTCGGCGGTGCAGACTGCCGCTGCGGAGGCAGCGGGGGCCCTGCTGCCGCGACAGTGAGACCATGGGCGCGCGCGGCACCTCCGGGGACACGTTGGCCGAGCTGTCCCGGTAGTTTGTTTGGCCAGGGATGGAACGCGACGCTCGAAAGTGGATCTCGTCGCGAAGCGTTTGCTGGATGGTCGAGTTGGCGCGCGGCCTGACGGCAGATGAGGGGGGCGGCGGAGCTCTACAGGCCGATCGGCATGGACGACGTGGGGCCCATCTCGCCGGGGTCGGAGGGCTGCGGTTGCATCCTGCGCGCGGAGTGCGCCTCCTGGCACTGCGCGCGGCTGAAGGCAGCGCCAGGCGACTCGGCTGCGACGTGGGCCAAGTTCCCGGTGGAGAAAGTGATGGTTTTACCTTGCAAGCTTTTCGCCAGTGCTGCGGGCGACGCAGGCAGTGGGTTCACGAGTGAGGTTGTGGCCTGGATCAACGGTGTGATCAGGGCAAGCCCGAGCGCTGGGCGCGCTGTGTACCATTCGCGCAGCGGTGCCCTCGCGCGACGCCGATGTTCCGCCGCTCTGGCAGATCTGCCCGCGAGATCGCGACGGGCATGCTCCTGCTGGGTCCGATCGAG